GGCGCGCAAGGAGGCTTCTGCCGGAGATTTTTACTAGGGTTTGGTCGCCGGACGATGACGGATCTTGTGGTGTTAGATTTTGCACAACACTGACGGAGAGAGATGACGCAAATAGCCTTGAAAAGTTGCCGGAAAATTGAGACACGGTGACTTCTGACTCTGTATTCTAGTTCCCGGATGTGTCTCACCACCACGGCTCTGATACCAAGTGAGAATGAACTGGAAAATATTTTATTCACATGTGTTGACAATGATACAATGAGCCCTATATATATAATACATGTCCTACTCCTAATACATATGAGATTAGAGTTATTTACTACTCCCTCCATTTCATATTAGATGAGGTACTTTCCTTTTTAGTCTGTTCCAAAACAAATGACACATTTCTAAATTTTGAAATAATTCAACTTTAAACTCTTCATTTTTCCCATTTACCCTTAATGAGAAGCTTTTGTAGTCACATAAATGTCATGGCCCCACAAACCTTTTACCCCTTAAGTTTTTAAGAACACAAGTTTTAAAAATCTTCTTTTTTCTTAAACTCCGTGCCGAGTCAAACTACCTCATCTAATAAAACGGAGGGAGTACTATTTAACTACCAAACTAACATCGACCATGAGCAATTTGTGACAACTTTAATGTCACTAGTTTTCCTAAAAAAAGAATCTCAAAGGAAAGGTCCCTCACTTCATAATTGTTTTGATTTGGTTGAAGCGTTGGAATTTGTCGACCTCTATCAAAGGGAGCAAATATGCATTTGCTAGAGGGTCTATCAGTGAACATACTGGTCTTGAAGTAGATGAACATAGTAGTCCTGAAGCAGATGCTTTTTCTTCTATCAATTTTGATTGGAAGATGAAACCACCAGAACTAATTATATTGGAGATGGTAAGACTTCACTCTAAAGGATCCACAAAATCTAGAAAAAAGTGAAACTAAACAAAATTAACTGTCAAATCAGATGGAACATGGCCTTGGGTAGTAGGAGGTGACTTTAATGTCACCAGATCCACTGACGTTAGAAAGGGAGGATGGAGATTGTTCGGCTTAATGCTTTATTTTACAGCTTCATACAAGACCTGAAGCTGATAGATTTACCTTTGCAAAATGAAAGATACACTTGGTTCAAGGGACAGAATGGAGGTGCAGTCTCGAGGATAGACTAGTTTTTTGTTGATGGACAAGATGGAGCCTTCAGAAATATAAGTTGAGCTCCCTAATCTATTCTCGAACTGTGCTCCAATAATGCTTGAGTATGGTGAATAGAATAATAAATCTAATTTCACATTTGAGAATCAGTGGCTCAAAGGACATGATAAAAAACTTACAAGACCATAATAAATCTAATTTCACATTTGAGAATCAGTGGCTCAAAGGACATGATAAAAAACTTACAAGACCATAATAAATCTAATTTCACATTTGAGAATCAGTGGCTCAAAGGACATGATAAAAAACTTACAAGACCATAATAAATCTAATTTCACATTTGAGAATCAGTGGCTCAAAGGACATGATAAAAAACTTACAAGACCAGTCGCAAATTGTATGAGGGTGGAGGGCACACCAGATGTTTTAGCAAAGGAAATTGAAACTATTGAAGAGGTACTTAAAAGAGTGGAATGCTAATGTTTTCGGCTTTATTCACAAGGAAAAAAAAACTTTTCAGAGTACTGTTGACAGTCTTGACGAAAATGGAAGGACATAGGGAATTAACAGAAAAAGATAGCATAGAAGGATGTAATGTTGGCAGAAGAAAATGAGATTATTAAGATGGACTAAATCTCATGGAGGCAAAAGGCAAACTGCTTATAGTTTATAGTGGGTGATACTAACACAAGAATTATTTAAAAAAAATGACAAACACAAATGTAAGAGACAATTAACATAGGCATGCTAAAGGAGGATGTCGCTGTTGATTGAGGATGAGGCACATTTGGAAAGTTCAACATGAAGAGCTATCTACTGAATCTTAAAGCTAAAGGCCTAACTGGAAATGTGCTGACTTATGGTCATAAGTAGAGAAATATAGAAAGGTTGCAGGGTCAATTAACTTAAGAAGGGGTGAGATGGTCATTAAGGGTAGTTTAGATAATAAAGTTAGATGGATTATGAATAGCTCTTTTTAAAAATGTTGGCCTATTGTAAAGGCAGATACAGCGAAAACCTTCTTAATGCTATTTTTATAGCGTTGATATCAAAGAAAAGAGAGGCAGTGGAATTAAACAATTGTAGACCCATTAATAATCTTGGCAATATATACAAATTAAATGTGCAGATATTGAATAAGAAGTCGAAAGATGTTGCTGCATGGCTAATCTTGGGCTCACAAAATGCATTCATCTTCATTTTTTTTCTTGGTAGGTACAAAATGCATTCATCTTTGGCAGACATATTATGTATGTATTCTTAATTTTCAGCGAGTGGATAGATATAAGATTGACGCAGAAGAAGCTGGCGTCTTATGGAAATTGGATCTTGAGAAAGGGTATGATCATATTAATTTAGGCATTTTTGTTAAAATTAATGATAAATATGGGGTTAGGGAGAGATAGCTAAAATGGATCATATTCTGTGTCTATCGTAAGCTTTTCCATGATTATAAGTTGGGAAGGTTTTTCCATTGTAAGAGGGGGTTGTGACAGGATGACGCCATATCTCCATTCTTCATTCATTATACAAACAGCTTGATTTAGCAATATGTTAAGAATAAGAGAAAGAATAGGGTTGATTGTTACTGTCTCACATGATACCCTATTGTTATATAGGTCAGGAAATACACAAAAAAAATATCTCTAAGTAGTACTCTTGAATTTTAAGCTAAGTTGCTTGGACATGGGTGCGGGTGTCCGGATATAGGGGTGCTGATCTAGAGGTCGGATCCTTCGAGATGTAAATTCTAAGATTTGGGGATACGGATCCTAGTACGGAAACGGGTGTGGAAATTCTGCAAAAAATAATGCAAAAAAAAAATATCTCTAACTTATGAGAAATTTTATGGAATACTTACGTATAGCTTGTAAAGCGTTGATTTTTTTTTAATTCTGAAGTTGTAGATAAGTAAAGGATTGATTTCCTAGATAAGATATACTATTTTCTTCAAATTTATCCTAGTTTAGGTTTTGATCCTGGAAACCAAATTGTATCTCCTCTCGAATTTTTTATCCGTCGAGGTCAAAGTACCCCAACTTGTTTGGCCAAATCCGGTACGGATCCCATACCCACACCCATATTAGTGTCGTGTCGACACGAGTGCGGCACCTAAATTGCCATGTCGGAGCAACTTAGATTGTAAGGATGTTTTAGGTTTTTACACAACTTGAAGAAAAGTCTCATGTTCCCTCTAGAATGTAGAAATATGGTAGAGGTACTAGACTAGGTTGCGTAGTTGAACACCTTACTGAAATGTATCTCGGGCTTCCTTTGGTTGGAAAATATAGGATGAAACTGATATTGCAAGGAGAAGTTTGACAGGAGGTTGAAAAAACCAAAAACGTAAAGGGCAGCCTGGTGCACTATGTTCCCGTTATGCGCGGGGTCCGGGGAAGGGCCGAATTACAGGGGTGTATTGTACGCAGCCTTACCCTGTATTTCTGCAAGAGGCTGTTTTCACGGCTCGAACCCGAGACTTCTTGGTCACATGGTAGTAACTTTACCCGTTATGCTAAGGCTCCACTTCTCAAAAAACCAAAAACATAAAAAACCAAAAAAAGAAGTTTTGGCTGGAGGTGACCACCCTGTTGAAAAAGGTTTTGACCACATGGAGGGAATAGTTTTTATCATTGGATGGAAGAGTGTTTGAGTTGAATTGGAGAGGTGTTTAGGTGGAAGAGTAACACTTATAAATAGTGTTCTTGACAGCATCCCTACATATTGAATATCCGCCTTTCCTCTGCCAGTAAGTGTTGAAAAACAATTGAACAGAATAAGTAGCAATTTCCTATGGGAAAGGAACTCCGAATGCAGAAAGTTTCATTTAGTTTAATGGCCCGGCCTTTGGTGACTGCCTCAAAACGAGATGATGAACTGGGTAAAATCTTAAGACTGCAGAATAGGTATATTGCTAATGAAATGGCTTTGGAGATTTACTGGTGAACATATATAACTAAATAAGGGATATCAAGTGATATCTACCTCAATCAGCTGCAGTAATGGCCACTCATATCAACTCTGAAATAGTAATTTTTTCATCTTGTTAGCTATGAAATATTCAGATGCTTTTTGAATGAGTATTTGGCTGATCTTGTAATACTATATGGTCTACTGCAGTGTGGTATGATGCTAAGCATAGCCGCATAGGTCCCATTAACTATTTCTTTTTGCTTTTGGGTCTGTTGTACTTATTTTATATGAGCTACACCTCTCTTGGATGTGCCCCACAATAAGCATCTTTTACCTTTCAAAAGGTTACACACTCAAATGGGCCACCAGTGAGTTCTATGGTCAATCAGCTTTTCCTCGCAGTCCAAAATAATGTAGTGATGTATGTCCAGTTCTTTAAATGGGTCACACCTACATATATCTGGTTGAACTTCAGGTCTCAGAATTGTTTTATTTGGTTTATTTCCTTTTTTACTTTCAACGTTTTACTATTTGCATGCTTGGATCTCTTTTAGTGTCCACCTTGTGGCAAGATATAATAAACCAAATTACACATTCGTGTATCTTCTTTAGTAGTTTTCCTTTTACGGCCTAATTTACAAAAATATCACGTGGATCGTCCTGTACTTCAGTTCACATTGATACCAAAATGTGGCTGGTATACAAGTAATCGCCTTGAAGATATTCTTTTGTATATTCTGATAAAACTTTTCCTTCATGATGGTAAAGCTATCTTGGTTACGGTTTATCTCACCGAGCCTCCCTGGATTGAGAGTGGTTTGCAGTCTCAGCAGGCTTGACGATTTACACAGTGCAAACTATCTACCTTTGTTTAAATGAACTAAACTTCTAGTCCCTAATGTCATTTCTTTTGGTGGTGTTTTTTGGCTAAACAGGAGTCGTCTGTTTACCCTGATAAATGATCTGCCAACTGTCTTTGAAGTCGTGACAGGGAGGAAGCCTTTGAAGGACAAACCTAGTGTTGATAGTGGAAAGAAATCAAAGAATAACACAAAGGTACTCTATTCAATCATTTATATTTGTGGATCACCCTTTTCCATGTATAACTTAGATTACGTTCTTGCTTGCTTGCTTGCAGAGAGAAAAACAAGTTAAAGCAAATCAAAGGCTACGTGAGGAGAGTGATGATGAGGATGAAGGGAATGAAGACGAGCATGAAGAAACTCTATGTGGAAGTTGTGGAACAAATGGCAATGCAGATGAGTTCTGGATTGGCTGTGATATTTGTGAAAGGTGGTATCATGGCAAGTGCGTGAAAATAACGCCTGCAAAGGCTCAAAGTATCAAGGAATACAGATGTCCCTCTTGCAGCAATAAGAAGGCAAGACATATGGGTTGAGTTAAAAACTTTAGGAAGACTTGAGTTCATGTTGACAAAAATTGAAGATACTTAAATCTGCAGATGATACCCCTAACCTGCACAACCCCAATTCTACAGCGCCTTACTCTGTCTTACATATATACTTTTCTAGTTCCTTTTTTACTTTTTCTCAGTGTCTTATGTTTCTTGTAAGTTTATAGGTGTAGCTCTTTCTCGGAAGGGACGAAATCAAGTTCCTTGTATCGGTTGGCATCTTTAGTTCCTTTTCTTGCGACTGTTCAATTGAAAAATTCTGCATTCTTCCTTCTTTTCTTCTTTTTATTCGTTTGGTTTATATCCTGTAGTTCACTAGTATGCTCATATTAACTATTATCTAGCGTATTATTTTTTTCTGGTGAGCAATGTGTACAGGCTAATGCTATGGAATTATAAAATTGTTTCCCTAATATGCGCTCTGGATTAATATTGCTTTTTGAGAGCTTGCCGTGCTAACCTCCCAAAAAGGGGAAGATATGGATTTTATGGCAGTCTTTTGAACTCATCCTGGGATCTGGAAAATTGAAGCCAGATGACAGTTTTTGAGGGAACGGTATTTGCTTATTTGCTCGACTTAGTTGTGCGTACATAGTGCATCTGATTTTGACCATAAATCACTGATTGTTGCTATGAGGGAGCATCAAACAGCTTGTAATCATGACATTTGTGGGGCTGATTGGTGATCCGCGGAGCTGCATACTTTCTTGGTTTATGCACAGTACTCTCTTCGTGAGTCAGAGTCATAAAAAGAATGAATGATTGCTAGAAGTGGAAAAACAATAGAAATTGGTTTCCTGTATTTTACCTTTGGACTTCCTAAAATCGACTAATAGCCTGCTTGGCCAAATTTCGAAAATCAGTTTATTTTGAAGAGTGTTTTGTCAAAAGTGCTTTTCAAAAGGTATTTTTGTTGAGAAATATTTTGTTTGACTACTTAATTTGAAAAATACTTTTGAGCAGCAATTAAAGTTTGATCAAACTTTTAAAAAGTATTTCTAAGTGTATTTTTCTTAAAAATGCTTTTCAAAAAAATGCTTTTGTGGAGAAGTTACTTTTTTTCCCTGCTTCTAACAAACTGCTTTAATTTCTATGCAAAAATACTTTTTTCCTTCTAAAAGCTTGACCAAATACCTTTGGAAGAAGGCATTTGGCACAAAACATGCTGTAATCCTTTGATGCAAGTTATAGCTGTCCTATTATATTTTTTCAAACCTTAGCTCGTACTACTTGAAGATTCCTTCAGTTCTTCTTTTTCAAACATAAATGTTTATGCGCTACATGGGTACTTTCTAGTTTCTCGAGAGGCGCTAGAGTTGAATGCTCTCCAAATTATCAAGTGTGATGATCCGATAGATTATTTATAGTTTAAACCCTCAATTATGTGATTCGAGACCTTGATTAGCTCTGCTTAGCTTTCGTCGATTTGCGTGCGTTGTCCGTGTCTTTTTCTGGAAGGTTTTCTGTGAAAAATTGATTAAAATGTGAAATCGTCCTTTAAAATTCACTACTTCGGTCAATGTTTTGAGCAAACGGATCCAGATTCATATTTTGACGGTCCCAGTGGGTCCATATCGTGATTTTGGACTTTGGTGTATGCCCGGAATTGAATTCGGAGGTCTCTAGCTTGAATTTCGCAATTTGTTGAAAATTAGAAGTTTAAAGGTTGAAAGAAATTTCAAGTTTGACCGAAGTTTGACTTTTTTGCTACCGGGTTTGGACTCTGGTTCCGAAACTTGGTATACGTTCATTACAGTATTTATGACATGTCTGCAAAATTTGGCGCAAAAAAGAGTTGATTTAACATGATTCGGACGTCCGGTTATTAAAATGAAAGTTCTTAATTTTCTTTGAAAATATCATTCGTTTTGGCATTCGATTCGTAGTTCTAGGTGTTATTTTGGTGGTTTGATCACTGCAAGTAAATTCGTATATTATTTTTGGACTTGCGTGCATGTTTGGTTTGGAGCGCCAAGGGCTCAGGTGAGTTTCGAATAGGCTTCGGAGTGGTTTGGACTTAAGAAAAATAGCTGGTGAGAATCTGTTCTGGTGCAGGTCGCTGGCGAAGAATCAATTTTCTGTCATGTTCGCAATTGTGAAGAAAATCTTCGCATCTACGAAGAGGGGTGTGTCAGTTGAGATCGCATTTGCGGAGGATCATAGTTCGCATTTGCGAACAAATCATCGCAAATGCGATGATAGCAGAGATGGGGCTTCTTCGCAATTGCGAAGCATGTCCCGCATTTGCAGGGTACGTAATTGGTCGCAATTGCGATATCTGCACCTGGTCAAAAGCTGAGATAGACGGGATTTTAGCTCATTCTTTCAAATTCTCAACCCTAAACACCTTAGAGGCGATTTTTTCAAAAGCTTTTCTTCCTCAATTCATTGGTAAGTGACCTTAATCTACTTTCCTTCATTTATCCATTACATTTCATAAGTTTTCATCATTTAATCTAGGATTTTCTTGGTAGAAATTATTAATTTGGGTAGAATTTGAGGTCGAATTTCGAATAAATTACATAACCGGGCTCGGGGGTGAATGAATGATCGAATTTTGGTCCGAATTTTATATTTTGACCAAGCGGGCCCGAGGTTTGACTTTTGTTGACTTTTTCAATAATGACCTAAATTGAACCTCTTTCATTCGGGGGTAGTTCCTAAAGCTTATTTTGAATCGTTTGGTTAATAATTTACTAGATTTGGTTGGTTCGGAGGCTTGTTCGAAAGGCAAGGCCTTGGTTGAACCTTGATTCAATTGCGGAGTGAGGTAAGTGTCGTGGTTAACCTTGACTTGAGGGATTATGATTTTTTTGCATATTTGCTCCGTGTTTAATGTGTGGTTACAATGTATATGTGAAGTGACGAATACTTATGCATTGTTGTTGGGTTAAAGCATGCAGGTAGACGTTGTTCTTTGTTATTTATTGCCTCTTTAATTATGACATCCATACTTAGATTGGATTATCACTTACTTGATCATTCCTTCAGTATTTATGGATTAACTATGATGGTGGATTATTTTGGAAGTTGAGGTTCGGTATCTTGGAATTATTATTGACGTAAAGTTTATTCTTGCATTATCGATCTCCCGAATTTTATTATATTTATTACTACATGGTAAGGGAGAGTGTTAAAGCACGAAGTGTGATGCCGTACAAGGTTCTTATTTCATTTATTAATTAATTCATAGTGAGGAAGAGAGATAAAGCACAAAGGGTGATGTCTTGCCATCTATATCAATTATTCATTGTTACATAGGCAAATCGAGAGTAAAAGCACGAAGGGTGATGCCGTGCCATATTTATCGATGGTAAGTTTGAGAGTAAAAACACGGAGGGTGATGCTATGTCATATTCATCATTTCATGGAAAGGTTGAGAGTAAAAGCACGGGGGGTGATGTCGTGCCATCGTTATTTTGTATGTTTATCCGTCTTTAATGGTTGATGATTTATTCGATTATCTTGTGTTGGCATTCCTATTTTAGTTATTGTATCTTGTTCCCCTTTAGCATGTCCCCTCCCAACCGTACATATTAAATCTCTATTTTGTTATTGTTGGTGCATATATCTATGTTTCTACAGGTTTAGTTATGTGAGTGTCATGTCATAGCCTCGTCACTATCCCGTCAAGGTTAGGCTCGACACTTATGGAGTACATTGGGCCGGTTGTACTCATACTATACTCTGCACTTCTTGTGCAGATTTTGGTACTGGTCCCAGCTGTACGTGAGGTGTACAATATCAGATTATCACATTCAGAGACTTGAGGTAGATCTGCCGACGTCCGCAGACCTTGAAGTCCCCTTCCTGTTTCCCCTTTTACTGTTTATTTCATTCGAGACAATTTTATTTGTTTAAGACTCTATTTGTAGAACTTCTAGTAGCTCATGACTTGTGATACCAGTCCCGGGGTTGTACTTAGATATTTTTGTTTTTACGACTTTTCGCACATTATTCTAGTTTTATTTTAGTGTAATTGGTTTTAATTACTTGAATTGTTTAAAAATGACATGAGAATTACTCTAACGTTGGCTTTCCTAGCGAGTAGAATGTTAGGCGCCATCACGATCTCGAAGGTAGGAATTTTGAACCGTGATAATTTGGTATCAGAGCACTAAGTTACCTAGGTCTCACGAGTCACGAGCAAGCTTAGTAGTGTCTGGAGGATCGGTACGAAGACGTCTGTACTTGTCTCCCAGAGGCTATGAAGTATAGGAACAATGTCACTTCTATTCTTCTCTGTCGTGCGATTTTTATTCTATCATTGATGATTGAACTCTTCTATTCCTATTCTTTCACAGATGGAAAGATCACGTACTACATCTACAACATGACAGCAGCCGGAGCCCCTAGTGGCAGCCCCTACTAGGGGCAGAGGTAGAGGCCGAGGTCGCGCCAGAGGTCGAGGTAGAGCTCAGCCTAGAGCTCGGGCAGCAACACTAACAGTGATGTCTTATGTAGATTTTGATGAGGATGGTCCAGCTTAGACTGTACCTGTTGGACCAGCTCAGGTCCTAGAGGGGTTCATAGCCACTCTAGTGTTTTAGGATGTTCTAATCCGTTTGGTGGGCCTTAGGGAGAGTGTGGCCCAGGCCGACACATTTTCGGTGGCACCAGCCATCTCTCGGGCTGGGGGAGGAGCACAGACTTCCGCTACTCATACTCCGGAGAAGATGGCTCCCCAGTACCAGACTCCAACAACCCTGCCAGTTGGGGCAGTTCAGCTAGTTGTTGCGGCACAAGCCGACGATACACCCGCCATGTCTTCTAAGCTTTATTGAGATTGGACAACTTTACCAAGCTCTTCCCAGTTTACTTCAGTGGCGCACCTTCTGAGGACCCATAATATTATCTTGACCGCTGCCATGAGATGCTGGGGGGCATGGGTGTAGTTAGACCAATGGGGTAGATTTTTCTTTGTTTCAGATGACTGGTTCCGCCAAGAGGTGGTGGAAAGATTATGTTGACCAGACCATCTAGGTCGCTTGCACTTACTTGGTGTAAGCACGTGATTTTTTGCTATGTATGATAATTACCCCCAAAACAATTCAAAGAAAAATTAAAAAAAAGGGTTACCTTCGGGTACAATTTTGAGAATCTGCGTGACATTTCAATAATTGTTTTGTCTGTAAATGCTCACCTTGCTATAGTTAAGAATACAAAAAAATATGTGTCACATGCGCATTTACGA